CCGTTTTGCAGTCTCAGAGTGTGTCGTCATCCAAGGAAATAAGAAGGAACAAATTAGAAAAGGAAAAAAGGAGAGAAGGTTGAAATGAGGAGTAACAGATCAGAGAGTCAGGAGAGACCTGGATCCTGCAACAGCTCTCTGTGTCAACCTGAAGCAAATAAGTCCTCCTATAATAACAGGAGACATAACACATAAAGTTGGGGGTGAGACAGAGAAAAAAGAGATGATCAAGATGAACTGTCCAATGTGCAGAGTGAGGGGGTCATATCTGACGTTCCTTCAGGGGTTGAGGAAGAGGACCAGGATGGGGAACAGGATGAGGCAGAGGAAACCCCAGAGTGCACTTTGATTATTCATATGGTTACCGAGAACATGGTGAATGCAAAGTGAAAGAACAGATCAGCCATTTCAAACAGAAATTAATGCCAGTATGATGTATTACTATGAGGACAGTACAGGTGTATCATGTAGAAGAAGCATTGCTTAAAGAATATTTAAGCATTGAATTAAATATTACTTTAGTATAGAAAACTTGGAACATGACTTCTTTCTTCAGAGAAAGATGGATGAACAAGGTTTCTTGCCTATTTCACTGATTGCTGGATTTCACTGTGTTCAGGCTCTCACCCAAACCTTAATCTCATTTTAGAAGCCCTAAAGGATATCACAGAAGTAGAAGTTGTGGATGAGAAAATGAGGAGAAGATAGAACCAGAAAAGTGGCCAATCCAAGGCCCTTCTCCCAGAAGTATTCCACAGACTTCTCTCAGCTGATGGATTGTCCAGAGTTTGTGCAAGGACAAGCCTTTTGCTCACATGCAGTCAGGGTGATGATCTACTGATGCCCTGGATGTCATCCGATGGAGATGTTCAGTATAGCAGGTGGCCCACTGAAATGCATTGTAAATACTGGAACAAATGGTGCTATAGAGATGGAAGCCACCAGACTGTCTTCTGTGTGAGAATATCCACTTCTGACCTCTGGGCTGCATGACAGTGGAGATGACCACCTGTGTCACTACCTGAGACACAGCTGAGAACCCCTGCTGACTTTCCAGGAGCTGCCTGTTCTTTTCTGTGTGGCTGGACTTAGACAGCATGGCTACTTTTATTTGAGGGGGAAGCTAATTGTTATCACTGTAGAAATACTTAAAGGTTCTGTCTTTTGTTTCCAGGCATATGTACTTGTATCCAAGTCAATAAAGCAGAGACAGAAAGGAATGTGTAGCATTTCTCAGCTTTCCAGGCCTTTGGCTCTTGATCTGCCCTTTGCCATGGTGAACATTGCATAACTCACATGTTAAGATGTTTCAATGGACTGTAAGATTTATTAATGTGGTCATTTAAGGGGTAAGAAATTAAATAAATAAGCAAGGGTATTTTTCCAATATTCTTTAAAATGTATTTTTGATACATCAGTATAAATCCTGCCCATCAGAAAAAGCATTAATGATGGAGAGTTTCACAGAATTTTTTTATCTCATATTTCTTTGTCAGCCATGTACTTCTAATTGCAGCAAGCAACTTGGGCAAGTGTTTTAAAAAGTTGAAGAAATGTGTCATTGTGTGGCTGCTTGTTTTTTATAGATATAGTGGCTGATTGTAAAAGTTAAAGTTATTTATTATGTAAACTTGGGTTCAACATGCCATTTTTAACCAGCTTATGAAGAATCATTGGTAAGATGGATAATATAGAAAATACTTTTTCCACAGGATAGTTAATTTAGGTCAGTCAAGTTGGTGGTGCCTGTCCATTAATATTTATGTATTGTTAATAAAATTACAAGAATAAAATCATAAAAAAGAGTCAATCTGGTCAACTTTATGCTGAAAAATTTTGAATCATGTATCTATTTAAAGATTTCACCAGAAGCCAAAACTACAAATGGTGCATGAAAGCTATGTAGATGACTGTTCTTTCTAATAATGTGTATCTTTGTGATGCATACAGATAGACAAGCAGATTTTTGAGAATGGGTTAGTTCAGAAATAGCACTGATAAAACCAGATTTTTTTGTATGTAGGCTAACAAAAACAAAATTCAGGCATATGTTAGAAACCATTAGACTTCCAAAATTCTGAAGGCAAGAATTAAGGATGTTGAGCCATTAAGCTG